CCTGAAACGTTATCTATGATATCCATTCCCCGTTTAAGGCCACGTTGTTGTTGACGGATGTCTTGAGATAGAGTTACACTTGCTTCTTGCGCTGGCTGTGTTGCACAGTTAACAACAACAACGCATTCGTCTCGCGCACCGTGTGGCGCTATTCGGACAAATGCAAAGACAAAGATCCCCCGTATATCCTTAACAGACTGTTGGGGCAAGTGCTGTTCGCGAGCACCTACGGACAGCCGGCACGTCACACGAGGGGGTGGGTGGCCGGCACCACGCCCGACCGCCTTTGCCTTTCTGCTGGCGATGTTTACACACCGCACCGGGTACTCAGTTGAGGCCGAGTCAGCCTAGGGGAGGCCCAGGACCGGTCCAGATAATCATCACCGGTGTTGGCCGTGAGCGGGAATCGAACTCGGGTCGCTGGGTTCGTAGCGCGGGGCACCAAGCGCCACATCGCCGCCCCCCACTCGGACAAATACAGGGGCACTGCTTGACACACGCGACGGATGCGTTCCTGGAAAAGCGCGCGTATCTCAAAATCGCGTTACGTCAAAAGCGATTTTCCCATAATAAATAATGGTAATGGGGGGGGGGGGGGTTAAGGGATTTCACTCGCACTCGCTGTACATAATCGCCTCTATTATCCTGGCCTATATCGCTACAATACATGGAGACACAATGTAATACTTTAAATTCAAAGGAAAATCACGTAAACTCTCATATACATCCTTTAAAATCAACATGAAGGAATACAGTTCTTCTTGTTGCCGCACGTGCGTGGAGAAAGAGTGTTGGAGTTGCTGGAGGGAAGCAGGGAGAGAGAGAAAGAGTGTAAAAGAGAGAGAGTGGAGGAGTAAACTTGACAGCGTACGATCACGACGAGAGACACGAGACGAAGGGAAGAGGTGACTGTGTACGCGCGGCGAGATGCCGCACGGTGTAGCACGCTCGTTATCGTACCCCACCAGCTGCTGGCAACGCCATGGGGTCGCGGTGCCAGGCTAGGGGTGGTGTGTACGTCGCGTTGCGTACGGAGTTATTCCAAAAATTGCCTCGCGTGCGTCGACCAAAGGTTCAGATGCAAGGAGCGCGTTGTTCGAAGCTGGCGTTCCACAGAAGCGCGCAAACCGAGGATTGCCTTTGTCTACTTTACGTGACGTGTGGGTCGAGTGGCCTCCATTCTTCATAGCAGATAAATAGAGGGGCCGGTGGAGAGACAGAGTGGAGTTCCTTAAAAAAAACTCAAGTATTTGTTACCGCAGGCTTTGCCTGTAACTTAAGATTTAAAAGGCAATTTTTTGGACCTATTGGATTACTGTGCAATCATTATTTTCATTGCTTGCTTTTATCAAAGTTTTTTTTACTTTATTGGAATTCATAGTATTGTTATTATCAGCTTTCTGTTTCGCTTAGATTTTATCTATACTTGAGAGTGTAGTTGTATTTTTATGTCCAGCGCTTTGAGAAACTTCAAATATGAAAGGCAGTTCATGAAATAGAGGTTATTATTATTACCCTGTGGGGCCTGGATAAGAATCAAATTTTTGCAGATGTTTTCTGATGAACAGTTTTTTTTACGGGGATATGAATAGTTGCCGAATAGTAGCTGTCGAATAACAGACAAACCATTCAATAATCAAGAGTATTCCTACTAAATCAACATGATTTGTAAAAAACACAAATATAAAATAATGCTGAAGCATTGCATTGTGGGACGGATGTGTTCTTCAAGGGAGACCTGGGGGGCGGGCAAGGGGGGGGTGATTGTGCACAGGTGAGAAACCGAAATAAATTAACCAATTTGATGTTTGTACAACACGAGAACAAACAAAATCGCACGTGGCGTGCGCAGGGGCACGTGGGAACACAGCAACAACACGGCACGGAACACGCGACAGAAGCAAACGTCCAGAGGACTACACGCACGCCAACACACGCCAACACACGGCAACACACGACAACACGCCAACACACGCCAACACACGCGCGCGCTCGCACAAAATGTGAATTGCCATCGAGGGACGTTTCATGGCTGGGACGAAGTCGGTCGCGTGCCAAGAGAAACTACCCCCTGGGGTAGCCCGATGTGGCGGCCCTCTTTAGTGTTTACAAGGAGACCGTCGGTTCATCTCTTCGGGGCGATCTCCTCTCTCGTGTGCCTGTAAAAGTCTCTCGTCATTGTACCTTCGCCGCATGGGCGGCAATGATAATTCACGCGGCGGAGGAGGCCATCGCTCTTCCCTAACGACCTGTTGCATCGAGCAGCCCTGAAATGCAATGCAACCGTTTCAGAAATTGAAGACGAAATGAATTAACTTTTGCTGCAACGAAAAAACTCAGGATTGAATTTTTTTGTGTTTCGCGCTCCGGGCCATTATTATTTCACGTTAATCGTTTTCTTCCCCCCCCCCACCACCACCCACCACCACCCACCCACCACCACCACCACCCTCCCCTCTCTTTGCGAAATTCCATGCAAGGGCGTTATTAGCCGCGCGAGGGACGAAGCCGTTTGTGAGATTATTATCGCCAATGTTGCGCACAATGCCACCATTATTACACGGAGCCTCTCAGAAGGTCACGATTTGAAAAGGAATTACTGAAGCTTAAGCGTAACCATTTCTTCGCGTCTCTCGTCCATAATTCATTTAAAACGTAACCCGTCGGCTGGATTTCACGTTTTTTTTATATATACGGGGTTTTAAGTGCCGATATGTCTAGGCGCCGAGGTGTATCGATTGCCCGATCGGACGTCATCGTCCGTTCGCCCCAAATCTACGATGGCCACCCGATTCTCACGCTTGCCCCTCGCGTGAGGCCACGTTCAAGCTCAGCCGGCTCACAGCCAGTGGCTTGTCAAACTCTTGTCGCTTCGTCCGTTGAGTTTTTGTTTTCGTTTTTTAAAGCGGTAAGAGGTACAGTGAGGGAAAAAAGTATTTGATCCCCTGCTGATTTTGTACATTTGCCCCACTGACAAAGAAATGATCAGTCTATAATTTTAATGGTAGGTTTATTTGAACAGTGAGAGACAGAATAACAACAACAAAATCCAGAAAAACGCATGTCAAAAATGTTATAAACTGATTTGTATTTTAATGAGGGAAATAAGTATTTGACCCCTCTGCAAAACATGACTTAGTACTTGGTGGCAAAACCCTTGTTGGCAATCACAGAGGTCAGACGTTTCTTGTAGTTGGCCACCAGGTTTGCACACATCTCAGGAGGGATTTTGTCCCACTCCTCTTTGCAGATCTCCAAGTCATTAAGGTTTCGAGGCTGACGTTTGGCAACTCGAACCTTCAGCTCCCTCCACAGATTTTCTATGGGATTAAGGTCTGGAGACTGGCTAGGCCACTCCAGGACCTTAATGTGCTTCTTCTTGAGCCACTCCTTTGTTGCCTTGGCTGTGTGTTTTGGGTCATTGTCATGCTGGAATACCCATCCACGACCCATTTTCAATGCCCTGGCTGAGGGAAGAAGGTTCTCACTCAATATTTGACGGTACTTGGCCCCATCCATCGTCCGTTTGATGCGGTGAAGTTGTCCTGTCCCCTTAGCAGAAAAACACCGCCAAAGCATAATGTTTTCACCTCCATGTTTGACGGTGGGGATGGTGTTATTGGGGTCATAGGCAGCATTCCTCCTCCTCCAAACACGGCGAGTTGAGTTGATGCCAAAGAGCTCCATTTTGGTCTCATCTGGCCACAACACTTTCACCCAGTTGTCCTCTGAATCATTCAGATGTTCATTGGCAAACTTCAGACGGGCATGTATATGTGCTTTCTTGAGCAGGGGGACCTTGCGGGCGCTGCAGGATTTCAGTCCTTTACGGCGTAGTGTGTTACCAACTGTTTTCTTGGTGACTATGGTCCCAGCTGCCTTGATCATTGACAAGATTCCTCCCGTGTAATTCTGGGCTGATTCCTCACCGTTCTCATGATCATTGCAACTCCACGAGGTGAGATCTTGCATGGAGCCCCAGGCCGAGTGAGATTAACAGTTCTTTGTGTTTCTTCCATTTGCGAATAATCGCACCAACTGTTGTCACCTTCTCACCAAGCTGCTTGGCGATGGTCTTGTAGCTCACTCCAGCCTTGTGTAGGTCTACAATCTTGTCCCTGACATCCTTGGAGAGCTCTTTGGTCTTGGCCATGGTGGAGAGTTTGGAATCTGATTGATTGATTGCTTTTGTGAACAGGTGTCTTTTATACAGGTAACAAGCTGAGATTAGGAGCACTCCCTTTAAGAGTGTGCTCCTAATCTCAGCTCGTTACCTGTAAAAAAGACACCTGGGAGCCAGAAATCTTTCTGATTGAGAGGGGGTCAAATACTTATTTCCCTCATTGAAATGCAAATCAATTTATAACATTTTTGACATGCGTTTTTCTGGATTTTGTTGTTGTTATTCTTTCTCTCACTGTGCAAATAAAACTACCATTAAAATTATAGACTGATCATTTCTTTGTCAGTGGGCAAACGTACAAAATCAGCAGGAGATCAAATACTTTTTTCCCTCACTGTATGAAGGTGCAGCCCTGCAATTGCTCGCTCGCGTCAACTGTTGGTGGAACGGAGGGACCAGCGCTTAGAGAACTCCCACCTCCCCCCCACGCTGACCAGACGGTTTGGAAGAGGACGTGGGAGTTCCCACACTTTACCCCCCCAATTGCCTCCTGTTGTACCCCCGGCTCCCCAGCCGAAGTCGGCGCGGCAAATTGCGGACCGCTATAGTCTGTCCCCGGGATAGAGTGTTGCCCCCTTGCACACGTGATCCGGTCCTGAGTGTCCCCCACATCGACTCGGCCTCAGATGGGTACCCGGTGCGTAAACATCATCGCCATCTCGGTGAGACAAAGGCGGCTGGGCGTGGTGCCGGCCGCCCACCCCCTCGTGCGCGCCGTGCCGGCCTTCATCGGCGCCGCTCGCTAACGGCGTTTGCCCCGACGGTCTGTTAAGGCTACATGGGGGGGGGGGGACCTTTGTCTTTGTGTGCCACACAGGGCTGGCAACGATGGCCGACCGCCACCCGGCGCAGATTTTCCCGCGCCTGCTGCAGGAGTACGGAGGAGGCGGCCACGACGGCGGTGACGGCGGTGACGGCAAGGAGGAGGCCGGCGCTGCGAGACCCCCGCGGCCACCGCAAGGCCGCGTCAAGCTGGGAGAGGCGCTGGTGCGAGCGACCCGCGCCCTCGGTGGGTTCAAAGGTCGCCCTCGGCCGCTGCCGAGATGTCGGCTGTGTGTGTGTGTGTTGAACTTCCTTCGTACCCTACGTAGCCAACCGTGGCAAATCGGAGGTGCGGGGGAAGGGTCTCTGTGTGAGTCTATGGGTTTCTGTTTGGGTCTATGGGTCTCTGTGTAAGTCTATGGGTCTCTGTGTGAGTTTATGGGTCTCTGTGTGAGTGTATGAGTCTGTCTCTGTGTGAGTCTGTGTCTCTGTGTGAGTCTATGGGCCTCTATGTGAGTCTATGTATCAATGTTGGACTTCTTTCGCACCGTACGTAGCCAACCGTGCTACTCGGAGGTGCGGGTAGTGCGGCATTGTCGGCGATGTCGGCGACGGTGAACGTGGACGCATGGCGCGTATAAATGTCAGAAGGCAACGTTCGTTAGACATTTAACAGAAAAAAAAACAATAGTTGGCGATACTGAAGAGGTGTGACGATAGCAGGTGGCTGAGGCTGGTTCATTTAAAATCGCGGTCTCGACTCTTCAAGCCGCGGTCTTTTGCCGTAATTATTTTACCAGAATATTCTTGAAATCCTTCAGAGGATGTGACGAAAAAATACCAACAGATCCTGACATTTTATTAGTACACAAAAAGGCAGATTTACTGGTTGCTCTGCGAGCACGGGGGGGGGGGGGGGAGTGTGGGGGGGTTTGTGGGAAGAGCGTGACGGGGGTGCCTCTTGTTTTCCCCTTGCAGACCGGCAATGGCCTCTCTTATCGTATATGTACACAAGTTACGTTGGTACATTTTAAAAGCGCCGATGTTTGAGTGCGCCTGTTCGACTGTGAGCGGCTCACCGCAGCCACGCTATCCGCTGGGTTGTTTTTCCCCCAGACTAACTCCACATCCCTTCAAAAACTACTGACGCGGTGGTTAAAACAATATAATATATATCTGGCGTGGATTTCGCTTTCATTAACCCGGAGCGTTTTTCCATCTCTCCCACCACAACACTGCCCCACCCCACCCCTTCCCCGTTCATCGCTGTGTTAAGTTTTGTTTTGAATATATATATAAATGATATAATATAAGCGCATAAAAACAACATTAAAGTCAAGGTCGGGGCGGGCGGGCGATGGAATATTAAGAAATAAATGCGAAACGTTTGAGCGCCGCGACCTCCTGGGCGCCATTACACATCCTGGCAAGGAAACGGGGCCGAGTTTATACGGCTCCAGAGCGGAACGCGCAGCCACGCTAACAAACGGCGGCACCAACAAAACAAAACACGGCGGTGTAAATTGGAGCAGTGGCAACGGCACATCTGAGTTATTTCTTTAACACAGTTTTTTTTCCCGTGTTGCTTTAAGGGCCTAGAAGTGGCCCAGTCAGCGTGGCAGCTGTACCCCACCCACCATGCCACCCCACCCCCTCCCCCCCCCAATAGTCCACGAGACCGGACCACATATTGCTCTGAGGAAGGGTCATTGCCTGAAACGTCGCCTGTTTACAGATCCGGTGAGCTCCTCACACAATCACGTCCGGTTAATCCTACGTTCTAAGACTATAATACTGTATTTTTTTATTCTTTGGTTCTTTCCGTCATCAGGTACAAATGAAAGAGAAAACAAAAGTAGTAAACTTAGAAATATAATGCAATACAACACAGAGAGTCGGCTAACATAACAGTAAACACCCCACCTGGTTGATTACGTTCTTCCAAAGATTGCTAAATTTGAGAGAGAGATCAAACACAGACACGGAGACTAAAAGACAGACACACGAGCGGAGAGAGACAACATAGAGACGCACAGAGAGAGGGAGAAAACAAACTTTAAACTTCCCTGTGGAGGTGGTTCATTTGTCACCAGGCAAGGCCCTCTGAAGCCACCTGGCCATCACAAACGACAGCTCAACAGAGTTGTCTCATCGCATGGAAATTGACAGCAGCCAAAAACCTTGATTCTAAATGTGGAGGGGATAATCCTGGGGGACCCGGAGAGAAATTCACGCGACCACAGGGCGAGAGAGACACGCAGACTCCAAATATACACCAGGCGTCAGAGTTGGGATCAAATCCCCGACTTCCTGCGTACCAAGCGAAGTAGTTAACATCTCGTAGCCAGCGGTGGCTGGTTAGGTGGATCACACACACGGCCCCAAATCCCTGTGTGATCCACCAAACCTCCTGTTGTTCAAGATTTGAAGTTTAGATTGTTATGCTGTTATTGATTGAATGCGCCGCTGCCAACGCCACAGCAGCAGATCATTTGTTTAGATCCTTCAATTGTCTCGGTCCACGCCAGAGGTTTGCGTAGCATCAGGAGGGGGGGGCATTCCGAATTTCTGATGTGGCCAATAATGGTGAAATCAATTGAAGCGAGTGAGGTTATCGTATCGAGTAAATTCGCTCTTATTTGCCGTTGTAACTAAATGGGTTGCGGCTAAAGTTTTTTTTAGTTTTTCGCCACCTTCGACGCTCTGTCTCGTGGGGCGGCCAGCCCACGAGGGCGTGAGGTTAAATTCCTGGCCCAGACATACCTGGCCCAGTTTGTCACGATCAGCTAGGTTTGGTCGCGCGCTTCGGAGGTGATCACGTAGGGATTTGGGACCTGCATTACGACCCACATCCCAGGTTTAACCGTACGTGGTCGTGTGAGGAGGTGTCGGGATTCCCCTATGGAGACCTGTCGCGTGCCCCTGATCGAGCGCTTCGGAGGCGAGGGGTTGGTGGACGATGCAGATTGGTGACCCCTCCCAAACCCAACACAGCCACCACCAGGAGATGGCGGTGCAGCTACTGGATTGAATCCATCCGTGCGGCGCTCTAAATGCTATTTTCTTCTCGCTACGAGCGTGGGATTTGCTGCGGGTACTTTCGGTTTTTGACCCTCCCACGCACGAAGTTCAAAGCTCGGCAAATAGAATTGGCCGAACATCCCAACGTTCGGTACCGTTCCTGCAAAAGGAGCATTTTATTTGTATTTATATGGCAACGTCATCAACGTCATCATCATCAATCATGTCTCTGGGGGGTAGGTAAAACGAGCACCGTCTGTTGCTTTGACGAGCGGTTTGAGGCTGGCGGCGCGCTCACTCCGTGACAGCCTCCGCCACGGTGGCTTGGGGCCAATGCTGAACCTCGTTAAAGCAGGAAAGGAAATAATTACGCAGCGCACGCTCATAATTGTGTGTGTGTGCGGAGTGGATTGGAGTGGTTAGGGCAGTGCGGGGAGTGGCGGTTAGCGCTACGCTGCGCTACGAACCCGGCAACCCGAGTTCGATTCCCGCTCACGGCCAAACACCGGTGACGATTAGCGGAGCCAGTGCTGGGACCCCCCTAGTTCGATTCAGCCTCAAACAAGTACCTAGTGTGGCGTGTGAACATCGCCGCTAGGGAGCCAAAGGCGGTCTGGCATGGTGGTGGCCCTCCCCCCCCCTCGTGTGCCGTGCCGGCCTTCATAGGTGCTGCTCACTAACGGCGCTTGCCTAAGCAGTCCGTTAAGGCTACACGGGGGATCTTTGTTTTGGTGAGGGCAGTGACGATTATCTGAGCCGGTGGTGGGACTCCCCTAGGTCGACTCGGCCTCAAACGAGCGCCCGTCGTGGCGCCGGTCACACCACCACCTCGTCTGCCACGCCGGCGAGCAGCACTTGTCTCAGCAGCCTGCGTAGGCTACACGGAGATCTTTGCCATTTGTGTGTGCGACACAGACAAAGATCCCCCGTCTATCCTTTCACGGACTGTTGGTGGGACAAGTGCTGTTAGCGAGCACCTATGAAGGCCGGCACGACACACGAGAGGGTCGCGTGACCAGCGTAGCGCAGCGTAGTGCAGAGTAGCGCTAACCGCTCCACGACCGCTCCTCCCTTGTAACGCACACAACTACAACGCCATATCAGTGCTCTGCTGTCTGTGTTCAAATCTGGGTCATTTCCAGTGCTGGATTTATTCCCCCCCCCCCCCCCCCTTGTCTATGACTGCTTGTCAAGCGCGTTGCTATATAAAGCAAAGTGTGTCATTTTGTGTTGTTACTAAATACACAGACACATATATATAGATCGTAGGCCTCATTACGCTTCTCAAACTTCAGGGCTTGACAGTGCTAAGTCGACAACGTTGCCGGTTCGCGATTCCAGTTTTTTTGTTGTTGCCAAAATCCATTCGGCTCGGTACAAAAAAAGGGGGGGTGGGGGGGTGCCCATCGAGGTCGCCGGCGCTGGCGTCTGCGTTGCGATGCCGTCGCAGAACAAATAACTAAATAAACCAAACCTTTATTAAGTTGACCGTCGGACTCGCTGCTCAGAAAATTAACAGCGTCCCATATTGAAAGTCGCGTGTGAACGCCGCCTGCCAGTCCCGTCTCCATCCTACCGCCGCCCGCTCAACTCGCGGAGGTCACCGCAGAGCCGCTGCCCAGGCTCAGGGGGGGGCCCCCCCAGGCTCAGGGGGGGGGGGGGCCCCCTGTCCTCGCGCGGACTCCAACAACGGCCCAAGGTCAAGGGTCACGTGGCCGTGCGGCCGTTTCCCTTCCACGCGAGCGGCGGTGGCTTGGGCTGAACCTTCATCCAGCAGTGGATAGGTCACGGGGCTCGACGGTGATAGCTGATGATGGTGGTGATTCCAGGCGTGTGGTCTTTGCGAGCGACATGTGGTCGCGCCGTGGAGTGGTGTCCTCGGTAGGTGATGCCCGCGGAGCGTCAGAATGTAGGCTGGAGGAATCCGACGAGGCTGTGAAGTTTCTCCCTTTTTGCACTGATGATTCCTCGAGCCTCCGGTCCACGTTAGCGAGACACTCGGGCACGCACGGCAGCAGCACTGCACGGAGCATTGAAGGATACCTGTGTGTACTTAGTAGGCAACGATTCAAGCGTGCCTCTTCTTCATAGCGCGTGAACATGAAAAAGGGCCATTTCCCGAAACGTCACCTATCATTCATAATCAACGTTTTTGGGTTTAGATCGCGTTATTTATTAATGTGTCGTAACCCTCCACCACCCGACACGGCCAATCACGAAAGCCTA